TGATGTGACATGATGTGACATCATTTGTGCAGGTTGAGGTCCGCTAGACATGCAACCTGTGCCAAGGTTGGCCACCAAGGAATTGGAGGCTGGGGCTCCGGCTTCTTGGTGGCTTGGCCTCCTTACTGTCGCCAGGTGGAATCCGAGAAATCACGTGCTGATTTGGCAGAGTCAATCGCCAAGTCACGTCTGCTCCCAAGGTCTTGCATTTGAGCGATTCTGGATGTCAGAAATGTGGTTCAATCAGATGTTTCAGGTCAGAATGAAGTCGAGGCAGCACAGCAACTGACAGAGAAAGCCAAGGTCAGTACTTCCAGAGGCAGACGCAGCCTATGCCAGAGTCAGCCTGTCAGCCAAGGCCTCGCTGCAAAGTGTGCGTCAAGAATTGACGGCAGAATGCTCCGCAGCCAAGGCAGGAGGGCAGGAGGGAAAGTGACTGTCTGCTGTTTTGGGTGAGTGCGCCCTCCCTGGAAACGATTTGGGAAGCACCATGGTCGGCGGACTAGAAGCAGCCTTGTGTCATGTAGGCGTTCTTGATTTCAGCAAGGTTGCTAGCTGCTAGCCAGTGTAAGCAGAGCTGTAAACATGGCAGCAGCTGCTCAAGGCACAGGTCGAAGTGGAGAGGAGGCTGGCCTTGGAAGCTGAGGCTGTTGGAGGGAGCTTTAGCAGCGTTGCAGTACCATCTCCTTTCGCTTTTCTCTCCTGAGGAGAAGGCAGAGGAGTTCCGCCTCGATGCGCAGGCATGCTGGGTTTGAGTACCCCAAGATGATAACAATTTCCAGGAACATTTTTTGATGGATTGTCTCTCTCGATCTCCCTGACATGATGCGGTTGTCAGCGCAACAAGAAAGGTTAGAAGAGGTGTGACGCATGATGGCATTGTGTTTGACAAATTTGCCTTCAGAATCGGCCGTGACTGCAGAGTGGCATGTAAAACGTCTTGCATAGAAAGATGGCTTGGCAGGACTGATTTAAGACCTGATGTCGTGATATTGGTGCCTGTGCTCTTGTTATTTCCTTCCTCCAAGAGTTTTCAGCTGATATGAGGCTGCTCGCAAGGCAGAGCAGGCGGCCCGCATTGCAGAGCAGGAGGTGCGCTCTCAACAACAAGACTATCCAACCATGTTGCCACGGCAGAGGCAAAAGTTTCGTTGAGGCTGCTGAAGACGGTCGGAAGCCTGAGACACAAGCCACTGAATGCAGTTCGAGTCGCCTTGTGCTGGACAGGATGGAGCAGTGGAGGAGCTGCCGCAAGCTCGGCATTCCCCTCCATCCGAGTACCCGGAGTACTCCACCTGAGAAAAAGCAATCCCCAAGGCGGCAAGCACTTGCAGCAAAAACACAGGAAGCCGACGAGGTATTCGTCTAGTGGCATCCGGAGTTTAGATGTTGATGGATCGGCGTTGGGCAGGCAAAGCTGGAGTTGGCAAACATGCGCGCGCTCCTCGACAAGGAGTCCTGATGATCAAGATCAATCAAGGGTGGCATTATCTTAATTGAGCTTTACGCGCTTAACTCCAGTGCGAGCTTTCATCCCTGAGGACGGAAAGAAAGCTGTGGAGGAGGGGCACACAGATCTTTTGCATTTGCGGCAATTCATTTTCAGCGGCTGTGCCCAGGGCAGGCATTGTAGGCAGTGGGTCAGCTTGCAGGCAGAGGTCAGCGGATTTCTTTCTCACACTGTGCAGGAAGTCACCGAAGAGAAGCCCCCGAAAGTGGTCGAGGAGGTGCTGCATGCCAAGCATGCCAAGTTACCCTGAAAGAAGGTGGCTATGGAAGCGTAATGGAAGCCCATTGCCCGCAACGGGCTTTGACGATTTTTCGTTGGGGCTGGAGTCTCGTACGCTTTGAGCTGGCTTGCAAGTTGTGCCGAAGAGTATGTCCCAAAATAATATGTAAACGTGAATGCCTGCATCGATTTCAGTCATGCACTTGCTCCGGCAGACACGAAGGTTGTGGAGGAGTGGCACCATAAGTGTTGTTGAAGCCAAGCTGTCCGAGCAGTCATAGGAAGTTTCAGTCGGTGGGGACCTAAACACATGTTAGACTTTTGGCCAAGGACCGTTTCGGGTCTAGCCTTTGTTGTTGGGTTTGTAGGATTTGGTGTTGGCATGTTGAGTTCGGCAGGCTTGGTTGTATGCAAATCATTCCTAAAGGTTTATGCTGCTGCCACTTCGGGTCCAAGCTGGGCTGTGAGCCTGGCAACAGCTTTGTTTGAGCTGACAGGAGTTGACCTGTGAAGTGACCTGACATTAGTCGACCTGTGAAACCTGTGACAGGTGTGAGCAAGGGACAACCTTGCTGACTGTTTGTGCAAGGAAGGAATCCTTGCTTTGATTGTGTGAGGGAGTGACGCTTGCAGATCTATGGACAATGTCTTTGCTGAAGGCGCTGCCTATCACGCTGAGGAGAATGTCTTGTCTCCGGCTACTTACCAGGAATTTTCCACCGAGGTCCGCAGCAGGTGGAGCCGTGGAGCCTATGCCTCAGGGCTGGGGTTGTGGGCCTCGGTCATCGAAATTCAGCGCAATCCTCCAAACATGTGCAGGGAGCCGGAGCTCCCCGGCATCGTGCCCCCTATTCGGGTCGCACCTTGTACCCAGATTCCTTGCCCACGTTGCGAGCAGCTCCGCGGTGGCTTCAGATTTCCATGCATTGGACACTTTACGAGCGCATCAGCCGTGGTACCGGAAGGGTACAATGTGGCCGCAGCGTGGCGCCATTACTGTGCCCACAGAGGCGAGACCTTGGCTGAGGTGGAGGGGCCTGTTCCCTGGAGATCTTACCACTTCATGCAGATCGGATCGCTCAGGCGATCAACCGCCAGAGCCGCGCTCGGGCCGCCTCCCCAAGCACCTATGGCGAGTCTGGCGCCAATGGCACGCCGGAAATCTGGCGTGGATTGCGCCCGGCAGGCCGGTCGCATCGCAAGCAGAAACCAGAATGGAACGTCGAGCCCAAGCTGGGCGCACGCTTTGGCTATGGCTTGTGGCAGTGGAAGCAGGTGAGCCGACATTGTTCCCACCGCAGCCCATTGCAGTGTACTGGGTGCTGGTGGTTCTTGTGCCGGTCATTCCTGCAGGGATGCTCAAGTTGCCTGGCCATGTTGAAGCAGCAAGGGTGATGGCCAGGAGCGAAGACAAGAGAAAGCGCCAAGTTGCCACAGGGGAGCCGGGCCGAAGTCAGGGCCATATGCTTACCTTGCAGGAGCAGTTCGAGGAGGGGGCGTGACCCTTTGCAGAGTGGGGGCAATTTTGCTTATGATGGTCTGGGGCACCGGTGTATGCAAGGCCATGGAAGGACAAGCGTCATCCAGCAGCATCCCTGCCATTGTCGGATACGATCCGAGATCGGGTGGCTGAAGACCGCGCCCGCGGGTTCCGAGCCACCTGCTTTCTGCAAAATGACCAAGATTTTGCAGCGGTGTGCGCCTCTTGGGATGAGGCGATGGCAGCGGGTGGAGCCGCTGTGGCCGACTCTTGGATGGAGACCGTCGCAGACATTGACGACACCATCCTCCTATGGGCAGTCGACGCAGCTTGAGCAGCTGCGTTACTTGAAGCCATCCAAGCTCTTCTATAAGGCCCGTCCGAAGAAGACCAAGGCCATCGAAGACGCAGAGCAACGAGATTTGGCCAAGTCCTGGCAGAGGCGTTTGAGCTGGCGGCCGCGTTCAAACCGGGGGGCCCAGCAGAGCAGCAGCTGCGTGAATGGCAAAGTTTTGTTCGGCAGCTCATTGTTCGGAAGACCGCCAAGGCAGCGGGGGCCACAGTGCGCAACGTGGTTCGCGCGATCACAGAGCCCAAATTTCAGCTGCTTCGTGGTTGCGCCGAGGGCTTAGCTGACGTGGATCTGATCGACCTCTTGGCCTTGCGGGAAGGCGGTGCCACGGCGCCAGGCCCTGCCATGCGTGGCTGTGGAGCTGGAATCGAAAATCATTGCGTAATTGCATCCCATGTGGCAGGCGACCCACTGTGTGTGCCTCTTCTTGGACGCTGGCTTGTTGCTTTTGGTTGCATTCGCCTCGTGCATCTTGAGCGGTCGGTGGTGACCAACATCTCCCAGAGCACAGTTCACCGCTTCTGTGATCGTGGCAAGCAGTCTTCTAAAGGTTCTCTTGGTCTGCGCCCCCCGCTTCTTGAACGGCTGGCTGCGGTGGTAATGTTGGAAGTTGGAAGACGGCGTTCCTGAAGCTGCCGAAGCACTGCCAGGCCTGGTGTGGAATGATTTTTGACCGCCTTGGCCACGCATGGTCTAGATAAGACACACAAGAGGCTTGTCAGCAATCTATTCACGGCGACTTCGCGGGCGTCGAACGCTTGACAACCTATGCCTATTCCTGGTGCCGATATGGACCGACGCTAGCCCTTCTGCTGCGAAGAGAGCCCCGCGTGGCCCACATGCTCCTTGCGTTGGGCGACTGGACCGACAAAGCTGGCCAGAGCACTGCCCACAAGTACACAGCCTCCAAGTATACCTTGTCGGACAGGGCCAAGCGCGCTATCTTGTCCTGCGAGATTTCCCCAGAAGTGCTGCAGGAGTGCGCTGATGTGGCTGCGGATGGCGTGGCAGCGGAGCTCCGCTTGGATTGTGTCAGGGTTTGGGAAGGAGTGACCTTTCGAACATTTTCGGCCTGCCAGCTTTGAGGCTCAGAAAGGTGTCGCAGCGTGAGTGCGCTTAGCGTGTTGATAAGATGCTGCCTGTGAAGATGCCCGATAGTGTTAATGGCCGAGTGGCGGCTAGTGCTTTGCGTAATGGCGCGGCTCTTTGTCCCGCTTGGCAGCCGGCCAAGTGCAAGCGCGAGAACTGTTCGCTGACGCACTTATGCGCTGCAGTCCTCAAATCTGGAACGTTTGTTCGGGGGTGCCGTGCGGCGCGGGAGTGCCTCGACAAGAGACGCCTTGTAGTTGAGAAAGCCGAAGAGCTCACCCCGTGAGCGCCCATTGCCAAAGCGAAAGCCAAGACCTGTGCCGTCGTCGTCGCCAACCCGGCACTCGTAAATGCCACCCGGCTCACTCCTGGCGGACGAGCTTGCCTCGGGGCGCGCCTTGGCTGGAGGCATGCTGGGCCTGACCGGCTCTTGGAACTCGCCGACCGAAGTTGGCCTCTTCCGCGGCACCGGCAGCAATTCTGACGGTGAAGAGGCCGCAGCGGAGCGCGCCCAGGTGGCTTACAGTCAAAGAGCAGCTGGCGCGGCCGACCTTGGTGTGCTCTACAACGGTTGGGGAACGCCTCTTCTTGGGCCCGCTGCCTGCCGAAGACTCGAGGTGAGCTGCGTGGTGGCCAGAGTGCCTAGCAGAAGAACAAATCGTTCACCTTTGGCGCTGCGACGCAGTACATGGCCACAGAGTCGCCCACTTCCATTTCGCGACCGAAGGTCAGATCACACTTTGCGCCCGTAAGCAGTCCAAGTCCGTGTATGATATCTGGCAGGATTGGTCTTGGAGCAGACCGGGCAGCAAGGAACGCCCCGCCCTAAGGCTTCGGGAGTGACCCAGGCCAGGAGGCTGTTTGCCACGCAGTGGAAAATTGCTCCCGCACACAGTTTTTTTCGTGAGGATTGCAAGCATTTTCGCCTTGGTTGGTCGAGCAAGAGCTGGCGTTGGGGTGGCCAGCTAGTGCGACAATGGCAACAATGGACAGCAGGTCTCAGCGATCTCCCGCAAAGCAGCATTGCCCCGTTACTGCGTCTCGGCTTTCACCTTGTGAGCATTTCCAGGAGCCCCCAAATCCGGCCCAGCATCATGAGCATCAGCTGCATCGGCTTTTGCCGAAGCCCCCATATCCAGCCCGGGTCACATGCTGGTTGTCCTCGTGGCGTGGGGAGACACGTAACTTTCAAGGGACCTGCTCCTGGGCAGGCGCCGTGCCAGCCTATGGAGTTTTCCCAGTGCAACACGCAGACGAGCTTCAGCTGCAGGACTTGTTCAGAGCCGTGGAGAGCCATAACCAGCAGATCAGAAGCCGGTTGCACCCAGGCAGGGACGACACCTTCATGCTACAGCGTCCATGAAGGACGCTGAAGCTGGGTTTTGCACGCTTTCCTTGAACGACGCGCAGTTGAGTTCAGTCAAGCAATCCATCATTGGCAATGCCGATGTTGGGGGTTGGTTGGAACTCAGTGCGGACCCCAGCAGGCTGGTGCTTTGCTCCCCCGCTCGGCCAGCGCAGCATGTCGCTTCGGCTACCAGCTTCATGTCAAACGAGCACCTCCGTGCAGCCCGGGAGAGTGACTCCTGGGAGGGAGGGGGTGAGACTGGCCGGATATACCGGCGTTGCCTGCGAGAGAAGAAGCCAGCGTTCTGGCACGAAGATTGGGGAGAGCCAGCGTACCAGCTCTACACCAGGCTCCTCTTCAGACTCTCGTTGGTCATTACCTCTTTCAACAGGTGCAGCTGTTTCGTTGAAGCGGGCCAGTGGGCCTACAGGGTCCTGAATATCTTGTTGGGGACCCTTTTTTCTGATGAGAAAAGGCAGCCCATGGCATCCGAAGGCACTTTTCTTGGGCTCGATTTCGGGTCGCCTCAGCACTCGAAGGTGGCACCATAGCTTTCTTCGTAAGGGAGAGATTGGTCCCGAAAATTCAGGACATGGTGTCGAGTATTTTCCAGTCCAATGCCCTGAGGTCTGGCGCAGCTTCGAAGCTATATGGCATGCTCAATTTCTTGGAGCTCGGCATATTTGGGAGAGTGAGGGCAGGCGGCCTGCAAGCCGTCAAAGATCGCCAGATGCAACGCGGCGAACGCTTGACCCCAGAGTTTTCAAGCCAGCTTGCGAGTCATACAAGCGGTGTTGGCTACCAAGCCCAAGCGGAAGTTTGAACTTTCGCGGCATGCCCATGAATGAGTTTTGGCGGCTTCCCATCTCGTGTTCCTCGATGCCGTGCAGATAAGGCACAGCTTTGTGGCGGCGATAAACGCATCAGTCTACCAACATTTCCAAGAAGGTGAACACACCACATTGCCCAACTGGAATTAGCAATGATACTCTACGGCCTTATCGCAAGACCTGCAGAGTTCCGCGGCCGTCGTCTTGTGGTTTGTGGAGAATACTGCTGCTCTAGGTCCTCTTCCACTGACCTGGAGAAGCTGGCGCAGATCATCCATCTATGTGTCTTTGCTTTGAATTGTACCCTTTACTCGGAATGGATTCGGTCAAAATCCAATCGGGCGGATGACATGTCCCGCCTAGGGCGAGCAGACCCGTGGTCTCGTGCCCATGGTTTTGAGGTCTTCCCAGCGGCGTTTCCGCATCTCATCTGGTCTCTTCCTGTTCCAGCGACCATCAGCGTCGTGCAGTTTTTGTAATGCATTGGGAGTGCGTGCCTTGGGTGGTTCCCTCGTGGCATGGAAGCCACAGGCGGAGTTCCACGTATATCCTGTGTGCCAGGCTGCCTGGGTGACAGGAACCCAATGCACTGTATCCTAGTGGCAGCCTAGGTTGTAATGTGCGACTGCTGCCATTTTGGAGTGAAAAATGAAGAACCAGTGCGTGTGCATCTAGTTAGCACATTGAACTTTGGAGTGAATGAACATGACTTGGGGTGCTGCTGCATGACTGCTTTGCTGCTCAGACTGAAATGGATGCTTGGCATGAGACTGAGAAAGGCTTTGTTCACATTGCCCGCACTTGCTGAAGTTTGCCGACGTTGTTGCACTGGCTTTCCTTCGCAGGAAGTCACCGAAGAGAAACCCCTGAAAGTGGTCGAGGAGGTGCTGCATGCCAAGCATGCCAAGTTGCCCTGAAAGAAGGTGGCTATGGAAGCATAATGGAAGCCCATTGTCCGCAATGGGCTTTGACGATTTTTCGTTGGGGCTGGAGTCTCCTACGCTTTGAGCGGGCTGGCAAGTTGTGCCGAAGAGTATGTCCCAAAATAGTTTGTAAACGTGAACGCCTGCATCGATTTCACTCATGCACTTGAGTGCGAGAACTGAGCTGAATTTGGCACTTGTTGTTCAGGCTGTCGCTCCTGCAGACACGAAAGTTGTGGAGGCGTGGCACCATGAGTGTTGTTGCAGCTAAGCTGTCCGAGCAGTCACAGGGACCTGAACACATGTTAGACTTGTGGCCAATGACTGTTTCGGGTCTAGCCTTTGGTGTGTGGTTTGTAGGATTTGGGGTTACAATGATTTGGGGTGCTGCTGCATGACTGCTTTGTTGCTCAGCCTGAAATGGATGCCTGGCATGAGAAGTTTGCCGGCGTTGTTGCATTGGCTTTCCTTTGCAGGAAGTCACCGAAGAGAAGCCCCTGAAAGTGGTCGAGGAGGTCAGCCCATGTTCTTTGCAGAAGTATTGATGCTCTGATCACGCTGTTGGCAATTTCTTCTGGAAGAACTTTTCAGGTCATTGAGCTTAGCGGTGCAACTTGTTCATCCAGCATACATGAAGGGCTTTTGCTCAGGTAGGGCCTGAAGATGAAAAAGAAATTGAGGCAGGTTGCTGCATCGTCAGCAGTCAAGTCTTGCCAGTGTCTCTTTGTGGCCTGCGTGATGTCTTGGGGAAGGCCTCTCTGGGGTGTGTGCCTCTTACAGCACAGATGCAAGCTTGGCAGGACAAGCCTCAGCCGCAGAGGGTGCCAGCTTCAGACATTATGGAGGACAACATTCCTTTTGTGCTGCAAGACCGTTTGTCACCTTACTCTGTGGCTGATACGAGGGACGACGAAAGACCGCTGCATGCTGCTGCTCAGGTTAGTTACAGGACCGCAAAAAACAACAAACGCAAATGAGGCATCTTGACAAACGCCTGCAACGTTCGAGGGCTAGAAGTCACGAGCTGGGTCTCTCCGCATAATCTAGGCAGGTCAAGTCGGGAGCGCAAAACGACCGGGAACAACCAGCAAGAAATTTCCAGCTTCTCATATCTCATATTATTGTTTCGAAGTATCTGTTTGTGTTTCCCGGTATGTTCTCCATGCCGAGGCCACGGTTCCACCTTGCCCAGCATCGGAAAGGTCAAATTAAGAACCGCTCGTTTGAGTGAGCTCCGGTCTGATCAGTGTGTCCACACCAAACCTGGCCTGCCCATTTTGTTGGTCTCCCAGGGTACACTCTGGATCCCAAATTCCTGCTGGTTGGGGTTTCTGGTGCATCTCCCAGATCCAAACATTGTACAGAAACATTTCAGCCTTGGCTAATCGTTTCACCAGAAATATTGGAAGCAGAAAGGCCTCGCTGGCATGCTTGTATCAAGATCTGATCAAGATCAAACAAACATAATAGACAGGATGAGGTCAGCACATCATGTGACCAGCTTGGCAATGCTGCTTGTTACTCGTAAGATTCTGGCTTGCCATGCAGGAAGCGTCGTTGCCGGGTGCAGTGAATTGACTTGCCGATGGCCCAGGGCAATGACTCGATGACTGAAGCTGGTAAAAGCTGCTTTGCCCAAGGCTTGGTCTGGAATTGTGACGCGAGCCAGAGGAGTTTGATTTTTTAATCGATTTTGAGCTGCAGCTGTTCACTTTGACTTGTTCAGCTCGTTGTAGCCGTGCCCGAACAGGTATCAGGCGTACGGAAAAGAAAGTAGCTTTGGACTATGACTATCATGTTTCCGAATCAAGAGGCCAGTCGCCTGATACCGTGCTGCTCGTAGACTGTGCAAAGCAATGCTACGGCGCATCCTGCTTGTTTCGCGTCTCAACACTTCACAAAGAAGACACGTCCGAAAGGATGCTTGATTTTGAATGGCTTGGTGAGCTAAGCTCTAGAGCTACCACTGTTCCACGGACCAAAGATTCTTGGAACAGTCTTGTGCATGCGGGGCAAGGTGCTTCCAATCTTTTTGCAGGTTGCAGGCGTGACTCTAAACGGGTGCTGGTGCACAGAATTGGAAAGCCTTGTTCTGCTCCATCTTGCTGCCGAGACTAGTGGCCCTGATGTCTGACATTGTGGTGGCGACCATTCGGTCCTTCCATGAAGGTTGCCTTTTGGCCAAAAGGTTGCAAAAGCAATCACGACGTGCATGCTGTCTGCCCACCCAGGTTTTGATCCGCCTAGCCTTCCCGACAGTCAAGCCAGGACATGCAGCCATCATTGTTGGCTTTCGGGTCACAGTGTCGGCTATATCTGCAGCCACTTGAAGCACGAATGGCGCGTGACGTGTCCTTGGAAATCAATAGCATCAGTGGTCCCCTATGCAGGCCAGAGCCCTTGATGGGGACCTCAAGCGTTATGTTCATGCTCTCCATTGCAAGTGGTGTCCAAGGTTGCGTGTGGAGAGGTCTGCGACAGTACAGGAGGAGCCTCTCAATGTCAGCAATTTTTTCCGACAGAAGACTTGTCCCACAGGTCAAGCTGGCAGTGCAGGAGGCTGGGGTGCAATGAACATGTGCTGAGGCAGCAGACTTGGCTTAGCACAAGGCCAGTGGCATCTCTCCTCGAGAGCAGCGTATCTTCCACGGAACTCGTGAGCTTTTCAGATCTCTGGACCTGGAGAGCCGAGGCGGTTCTAGAATGGGTCATCATAGAACTAGAACGATTCTCAATATTCTCAATCTTATGCATGTGGAGATGTCGCCGGCGAGAGATGCCACGCTTCTCTTGTACAGCATCACTGTGATGGTTCCTGCTGGCGTAGCTGCCCTGTGCCACAATGAACATCATACTCTTGAAGCCGTGTTCAGGGCGGACTTTCTTTGCAGTTTGCAAGAGTGCTGGAACATCCGCGCAGAGAAGAGGCTAAATGCGGCTCCTGGCTTAGCCTGGCTTGGCAGGCCATGAAGACAGCATTGACCTCACCCTTGTGAGACGCACGCCAACCCAGATGAGGCTTGCGGCTTGCACTTTCTATCAGCGTGATAGCATCTGTTGCTGTGAGTACAGGTGGTTCAAAGAAATCGAGGAAGGTCAGGGCAAGAGGCTCATCGGTCCTTGCGTGTGCGGGGCTTTGCCGATGTTTGTGAAACCTCGCAGGCTTGCTGAAGCTCCACCGGAGGTGCAGTCAGAATCTTGCCAGAATTTGATCATGGCTGTGTCATGATGCCCAAGAACCCCGCCAGTCTCCAAGGACAAAGAAATCATGTTACTGGCAATTCGTGGCTTGGAGAATTGCTTTCTGCAGCGGCTCTGTGCGGGTTGGGCAGATTAGTCAAAGGTCAGAACTGGCGACACATCAAGTATGCTTCGGCAGACATCCGGGACGAGAAAGACGTCATTGAGACTGCACTGCAACAGGGAGCTCCTGTGTGCCTGACCCAGGTTGATTGCCGTGCACTTGCGATGCTTGGGACTGGCAGTGCTTCTTTTTGCTTTGTGTTCGAGGCCGCGTGTGGTATCCTCGCAGCACCTCTCGAGAAAAGATATAGCCCTATGTGCAGTTCAACAAGATGGCAGCTCATTACGGCATTTCTCAGACACTGGGACATAGCTGGAGTTTGCGGCATGAAGTCTGATCAGCATGATGGCTATTCTGATGAGCCTCAGGAAGACGTGCAAGAAGACCGGGGGCTAGTTCTGCAGGCTGTTAAGCAGTATCCTGCCGCGCTTGAGCGCGGGCCTCACGCGCGCATCAAGTAATTAGGTGCGCATCTTTGCATTCTGTCCGAGTGCTTGAAGCGTTCGACACAAGATGGGGTGACATCAGGTTCATTCCGTCCCACTTTTTGAGCGATCACGATGTCATCCTTGCTGCAGTTCAGCGAGATGGCAGTGTCTGCCTTAGCTAGTCAAAGCTCAATCTTCTGGCTGAGACCGTTTATGATTGACACAGCTCACCTTTGTGCTGCATGATGATGTTTGTTCGAGGGAGGTCTGGCTAGCTGCTGACAAGTCTTTCAAGAGTTTAGCAACAGAGTTTAGTACATTCAGGGCAGACAGCGATTGATCTTTAATGTGAGCTTGAAAAAAATCAAAAATCCCTGCCTGCTTCAGGTATGCTGGAGAGTCTTGGAGGCACTGAGTAGTTGCGCGTTGGCACTGTACGTGCAGGTGTTCTACCAGGAACTAAGCTGAGCACCCAACTCAAGGTACGCAGAAGATGGCCTTCGACAGCAGCGCAGTATCGTCTTGGCTGCAGTCTCACAGGAGGGCATGGCTCTTGAATTTGTCAACCCTGACCTTCAGGCCCACATCTGCGTGTGACCGTGTATGACATTAAGTCTCTCTGTTGAGTACATGCAGCTGCCAAGCCTTTTCTTTGCAGGTCCTCTGTTGGTTCAGGGCAAGCTTGTCATGAAATTTTATGAGGTTGTAAACATCAAATAGCGCACATGGCGCAATCCCTAGAGTCAAGACATGAAGAAAGATAAGTTCTAGGGTACAACAAGGCTCACGCCAGAGCTGCAAAGCGGCAGTTTTTAATCATGCCAAAGTCGAGCCCGCTTTCCCATATCGTAGGCATCAAGGCACCGTAGTCCTGGATGACGTGCTTAATCCTGAGAAATGACCGTCAGTCTTGCCAAGGCCTGGGGTGGTTGCAAACCTCCTTGAGTCAGGTTTTTGGGCTTGAAAGGCTTACGCAACAAGCTAGGATCGGGCCCAGGTTGCCCCTGTGCTTTCTGGCACTCTTGGCTTCGGACCCCTGCCAGGTTGAACTTGCATGCGAGAATGTCTAGGTTTGTTGTACGCATAGAGTCCCGGGATGAAAGAGTATGCATGCCTTAGAAGCAGCGCAGGCCGATCCGGATATAGTGCTGGCAGCTATTGCCTCTGACGGATCCGCGCTGCAGTTTGCTTCAAGCGACCTGAGGATCACGAGAATGGCATTTGTTTGCTGAACGATGCTGTGCGGCTGCTCTTTGAAGCTTTGCGTGATTGAGCAGGAACGACGAGGTCATCGTCCGCAAGGCAGTATTGAAGGACCCGGCTGCGTTCTTTTGGATGCAAAGCTGAATATCTGTGCTGACACCCGTCGCCCCGACCCTCCGAAGCATCATTGGAAAATTCCGCGGCTGGGCGAACGGATAGAAAACAATCAGGGGACTTCAAGGACTACTCGCAGCCAGCTTTTGCCGCAAAAGCTTCCCGCAGGCTGCCCATTCCTCCCATAAGTTTTCAGGGCCTGTGGGACCTCCTAGACACCTGCGTGTCGGTTTGTAAAATATTCCCCGCATGGAATCAGCCGGTGCAACAGCGGCTGGAAGGCCATGCGGCAGCATGCACGCGCATTCCGAGGGCCTAAGCAGCTTTGGACGCTTGCGGGCCAATGGCTTCGGAAGATGTAGACTGAGCTTACCTGAAGCAGCACTGCTTGAACGGACATTCTAGGAAGTTCTAGGATGGACTGGCACTGGAGTTTGCATCTTCGCGACTGCAAGCTGACAAAGCCATCGTGTTGGACGCGGTTAGCCAAGATGCGAGCCTTAAATGCAATCAAGACAGGACAAGACTCCTGCATGCAGAAGCGGTTTGCTAAAGCTGAAGCCAGTGATCCGCAAGGCGCTCGTTTCAGTACGCCCATGCCGACCTCCGATCCGATCGTGATGTGCGTTTTGGCATCATACTGTTGCCTTTGGAGGCATGCTCTTCTCTCCTCGCCAGAGACGGTGGGAAACATCTCTTAACTGACTGCATCAAGGTCTCGTGCCGCTCTCAGCCGCGCAGCTCGAGGGTATGGCCGCGAAAGCGACCGTGCTGAAGACAGAGTTGCTATGCTGGATGCTGTTATCCGTGGCTAGGTTGCATGCAGCACGCCAACCTCACACGTCCCGCCCATGTGTGCTTGAACGTTAAAAAGCCTGACTATAGCCCAGGCTGGATGCCTGAGGACCGGAAGGTTGTAGGGCAGTTTAGCCGTAATTACAACACATGCCCGACTGCAGCACTGCAATGCGCTCTTTTGCTGGGAACCATGAGGATGAGGAAAGCGTGAAAATGATCAAGGAGCAAGGCTTTGATCCAGAAAGCGTGCAATGATCGACGACGGTGGACGTTCAAATGCGAGGCATCGTCCATAGCCCTACAGCATCCCCGGATATCCCAAGAAGCAGTCCCGGACATGGTGCTATCATGGAAGCTCTGCAAAGGCAGACACAGCTGGAGGGCGGGGGACACTCGAGACCGACGCGTCTGCACTCAACTTCGCCCTGACCTCGCTGTGAGCAGTGCGACGACGTCACCCCGCAGCTGCTGGCCGGCTGTCTCCAGGAAATATCCTCAATTCAGAGTTGCATCAAGCTCCCCGGATCTAGTCGAGTGGACCTTTGCAAGACTTGGATAGTTTTCGTTGGTTTTAAGCAAGCAGAGTGGTAGCTGACAGACGCGCTCTGCGCATTTGACAATGTGAAGAAGCAATGCGTCGTTGCAGATTCAAAGCCACATGACATCAAAAGCTTGGAGCCTTGCAGCTGAACGCCAGTGCAGATGCGTGCAAGATTGCCCTGTGGATTGCGTTTGCATTCTTGCGCCAAGCAGTCCGACAGTGTCATTTGGGAAGAAGCAGCTCAAAACTACCACAGCCACTACGGGCATCACTTTGACTCCCATCCCAAGTTGTGCCTGGCCGTCGCAGCTTGCAGCATGGAATCCTGGCCATGTGGAACCAGGCGTGGCACCCATGTGGCTTGGTCCAGGTGATGATGGTCAGGCCAGACCCTTACAGTTTGATGAGAGGGGCGGCAGTCATTGGTCTGACTCTTGCTTACTTAGCACCCTATGGCTGGGTTGTTTCACCTGCAGGACTTGAGTCATAGACTTAGATCGGAGGTAGTCAGGTAGCATTGTGAAGCTTTAACTTACGCTGGTGCAGACTCGAAGGGGCATGCGCATGCGCCTGAGAGGAGGCTGCCGCCGCTATCCAAAAGTCCCGAAGAAGTAGACGGGAAAGATGTAAGATCGAACATTCCAGTAACTGAACGGGATGTCTTGTAGCTAGTCATCATATGTCATCAATGTATGCAGGTGCACCACTTGAAGCGGGTCACACGGAGTGGGCCATCTCTGAAGTGCCTCCCACAATGTTCTGACCATCGCCGACCCCCGTGCCCGCCGCCATCACTTCAAGCAGAAGATTCGAAAGAGGAGGCCTCCGGACGTCTCGGGCAGCTCATGAAGCGTTTTTGAAAGTCATCCAACAAGCTACCGGTGATTCCAAATGAGGGATTGAACAAAGCCGCCAAGCCTGTGCGAGAAGGACTGCCTGAAGATGAGCGATGTTTCCGTGCCTTGATTGTGCCTCGAGCTTCCAGGAGCTGGGCCCGTCAGCCCACGGCTGCTGGCCAGGAGAGTGTGATTGTTCGTATAGCATGATTGCGGGGGTCTTGTCTGGACAGATCTTTGCAACTGACTGCCAGGCTCAGCAATCACTCACGCGAACTGTGCTGACCTCAGATCAGATAGACTGCTAGGTTTGGGTGTCATTTCTTGGGACATCTGGTCGCCGTCATGGTTGATGCAGCTTGCCTGCTTGAGCTGGACACATCCGATTTCCACAGATCTTTTCAGGTTGCAGAGCTGTGGACTCCTAGGTGACGGCTCAAGGCGCATTCGTTAGATTCTGCAGTTTGGCTTAGCTGGAAAATCATTTTGGGTTGCTGTGATTCCCTGTAGAGCTGTCAGCCCTTGCTCACTCAAACCCTACCCAACGTGCAACATTCACTTGATTCATTCTGCAATGATGCAAAGCTATTGGCGCCATGTGCAGGGAGGCATCCACGTCTTCTCACGACTCCACAAGAACCTTGACTTGAAGCAGGGGAAGGGGATTCAGTTTCTGGTTCTGAACAGTTCTGAACATTGCGGCCACCGTCTACAGGCTCACATGCAAGCCAGGCAGCCCAGAGGTCTGACAACGCTGTTTTGGCAGACATAGGAATTGCCGCACACTCGAGTAAGGATTCCGAAAAGAGTATGTATACGTAGATGCCAAGCCTGCGAGGATTCCAAGCAAAACACTGAACAGTACACATAGTAAAACTAATCCCAGAATCCACAAAACACTGGAGTAATGGATCCAAAGCCGCATATGCCCTCACACATACATCACTGCAACGTCCAAGCAGTTTGGGCCAGCACAAGAGTCGCAACGCGATCGATGTGCTGGCTAGCCTAGCTTCCCCTCCTGGTTCCCTTGTTTTTGTTTGTTTGCTGGCAGACAGGTAGACTTGCTTTTTAGATGTCTTGGGACTTAAGCTGGTAGATGGGTTTCTTTGGTTTCTTGGTTGCCTCGGTGTGCTGGTAGACTGGTTCCCTGGTTTGCCTGGCTTCTATGGACGTCATCACTGTTTGCGCATGGATGCCTTTGGGAATGGATACTAGCTTGCAGACGGAGGTCATCAAAGTTCGTCCATGCCCCCTTTTTTGGATGCATATGCGGACCAATGTTATCACGGCTCCGGAATATGCATGCACTCGGCAGTGGTCGACATCATGGTTTGGGGATGGATGCTCATTGGAAGGGATGCGCTGACAGATGGGCAGTATGATGATGGTTGGGTGGGGATGCTCTTGGAAACAGAGGCACTGGCAAATGTACGTCATAATATGTCATAACGGCGCATTGAGAAGTCTTGCTCTCGCAGATGGACGTCATCATGATTTGGGCATAGATGCAGGGACGGGATGCGGACACAAACAGATGTTATCATGGGCTGGTCAATGATGGGGTTGTTTATGGATGCGCTTGGATGGATGTTATTCTTGGGAAGGGATGCCCTGGCAGATTGACGCCATGATCGTGTAGGTATGGATGCTGTTAGGAAAAGGTGTTATCACCGTGTGAGCATAGATGCAGTTAAGAATGGATGTTATGCTCGCAAGATGGTATGGCCTGACAGTGTCGCTGAACCAAGGGTTTTACGATTGAATCCCTAACATGGACCCCCGAAACCCCAAGAAATACACATGGTGTAAATAAAAATCTGTCCTATTAGGGGTTCGACTGTGCCAGCGACTGTCCAATTGCCACTTCTTTGGTTCCAGAACAGGTCTTGCAAAGATGTTGTGTTCTCAAATGGCGCAAAACCGTGTTCCAAAACATGGGCTTCTTGCACCTCTAATGCCTTGAATGCTTTTGGAATTCAGGAGCCCACGTTGCAGAGGGCGTGAAGCCAAAGCGCGCTCGACTTCTGCTGGACGCAGAGGATGCAGAGCGATCCCAGAGGCCTAGAAGATTTGACAACAACTCTGTCACTTACTGGAAGCTTCACTTTGCAGCCATGGCCGAGGCGTGCTGCACGGAGCAGCGCGCTCGCTGACGTGGATCGCACAGTTTGAGTGAAGCTATTTGTTCTTGAGCAGGTTTTTACAAAGCAAACTGCTGCTGAAGCGTAGAATCCTGAACTCACACAGACCGAATTCCAAGTTACTTCACATTGTAGATTGAGGTGAGGGCCCAGCCAGCTCGCAGCAATCTCACAGGGCCACAAACTGAGTCGCCAATCTTATGACCGCCAGTTTCATCAGTCACTCTCCCTGAGGCCTCCTCCGTTACGGCGCCGCCTTCGTCTTTGACTGCATGCTCCATCTGCGAAGCAGCAAAAACGTACACCAGAAAATAGAATGCATCAAGTAGCTGTGTTTGAGCCACCCGCTTGCACTAGTTTTCTGTAGCAGCAACAGTTGACCCCTCGCCTTGTGCCCTTGTAGTTGGCTCAGATTATACTCAGCTCAAGGTGGCAGCTGTGTCAGTCCATCTAGCCAAAACCCTAAACAGCAGCAAAAACAAAGAATGACAAGCTTCATGTGCCGTAGTGATTTGGACTGGGGAGTGATATGAATAAGGCAAAGATTCTCTATGCTTCTGCCCTTTAGGATGTATAGAATTGCGTCAAAGCAGCACGTAGGATTTGTTGGTGCCAGTGTCAGTGTTCATGTGATGGAAGTAAGACGTCAAGCATCACCAACTCACCCAGCATAAGCTTCATGACGTGTACAGGTGCCTGAGGGCAATGTTGCCACTGACATATGCTGCAGTGCCGTATCAGCCGCAGCAAGCAGCGCAGCTTGCGTGTCGACCGTGAGGGCCTTAAAAGAGCCTTAGTGCGTTAGGAAGTATCCGACTTTCAAGGTTGCAGAGGAATGCAATGGAGGTATTGCCATGTGTTGCCAACCACCTGGTCCCAAAGGCTGTTGACTGTTGATCTCTGGAAAGTTGGTAAACTTGTTTACAGATCGCCGCAAGACAGCGTGCAAAATCTGACATAAAACGATGCTTTCAACATGCTTCCCATACAGGCGTCCGGACCAAAAATCTGCCGACGATGTAGCAAGGTCGGACGGTGCCACACGTGCTGCTCAAATCATGTCGTTATCGTTCCAGATCTTTCAATCTGATCGTTCTGGCGCAGGCTTCCTTCGGGATCCCCGCTCTGGGAGGCGGTGGATATGCGCTGTTTTCCTGATTTCAGCCTTCAGCCAAGTTCTTTGAGGAGGGTGTCCCCTACATCAAGCCCAGTTTGAAGGTACGAAGCTTAGCGATATGCTTTATTTTTTAGTATGTCTTTTGCTCGCGAGCCAGTGAAACGGACAGGCCCGCCCGGCGATTGCAGCTGCATCTTGACTGAACCGAACCCAAACATCCGAAGAGCACTTTTTTGTTTACATGTGGACAGCACCCGTATCTTAAAGATCCTATGTCTTTTGGAATGTCAGGTACCTTCCGGCACGACCAGCCAAAGCTTGGTGCTTGTGGCCCAGTGGGGTTCAAAATTGGCCGCGTGCATGACGGTTCAGAGTCGGCTAAATCGATCTGAAAATGACGCAGTTTTCTTTTAAGGCCAAGACGCGGGGCACTTAATCTGTGACATGCTCATGAGGCTCTCCACTTTGCTGCAGTGTGGATCTTCTTTCATTGTCAGTCAGGTGTAGCCAAGGCAAAAGCACGCGCGCCGGAGCCTCTTTGGACATGCGTCAAAGAGCACTGGGAGATGTGGATGTGCTGATACGTGCTGTGTCAGCTGTTGAATCATGCTGTGGCTACTTGGATCTAGAGTTCTTGCATGCTTTGACAGCGTCGGGAAAACCAGTGGGTAGTGTGCCGCGGGCAGTAGGTGCTCAAGTCAGAGAAGTAACCACGCCTACCTCAGGCGGAGCAGTAGCTTATCCGAAAGTGCAGAGGCCCAGCCCAGCAAAATATTGAACTAGACCACAATATTGAACTAGACCACACGAGCAAGTTGCAGGCTACCCTGAAGCGGATCTTCGAATCTGTGGATGTCAACGGCGGCCTGCGCTGGTCTGCACCTGAACAGCGCGCTGTTGCTGTAGCCAGGTGATGGACGAATAAACAAGCTGGAAGCTGAGCCGGAAACTGAAAAACTTTTTCTAAGAAGGTCCTCGTCAGAGGCTAGAATATCTCCAACAACTTGGTTTTTATTGACCGGTTGTTTCCGCAGCAGGCGCGAGATGATCAAATTTTGTCGCGCCAGCAGCTGCCCCAAACCCCTTTGGTCTTTGTGTTTTCGTTGGCGTTCGCTTTCGTTGATGCTTTGTCGCATTTTTTTTCGGTTTGTTTGGCGGCACAGCTGCAGGCCCAGAGCTTGCAGCGTCTCTGGGCTTTCCCACGGGGGTCAAGCAGGAAATCCGTGTGCCTTGCGCTTTCCGTAAGTAATCTGCCTTTGCCCTAAAGGATTGGGTTTTTGCTCGCAGGAGGGCGGCACGCGAGATTTGCTCGAAGCGAGGCTTGGAGCGGTGATAGTTCTTTTTTTGCAGCGCTGCAACGAGATGCAATCAGCTGCCATCATTGCGCTATTGCAAACGTCAGGTTTCAGGCCATGGACCGGGACGATGATCGCGAAGTGACCTGGGAAGAGTTGCAACCTGAGTGCTGGAGACTAATGTAATTTGAGACCTTATATGCCAGTCAGCCAGCCAGGTTCTTTGACTTTTTCAGTGCCGAAATGGAACAAACGGCACGGGAATGCATCACGGCAGGTCTTCGCCTTGGGCGACTCTGTGTCAATGTGTTCGTTTGTGGGTTGGTCCTCTCGAGCCATAATGTTGTGCATGCTGTCTTGGCTTGGGACTGCCTGTGCCATTCCCACCCCCCATTGTCGTCTGCTCTGGAACCCAGCTCCAACCCAGGGCGAATCTACCCCCAGGCTGCCCCGTCTTGCCTTCATCCTTGCTGCTGCTCCCCTCCTTGCTCCTAGTCTGCACGCGTTCCTTAAGCCTCGAGTCTCCTGCTCCCACGAAGAGTGAAATGGACTAGAAAGTATAGCAACTCTCATTATTTGGCAAAACCTCTCAGGAGGATCCTGCAACATCTCCGCGCAATTGACGCTTTTGCAAGGCGCGGCGAGCCTGGCCGCCAAAGAGCGACCACTCAACGGGATCGGTGAGAAGTTCTCCCACCTTGCGGACAGGTAATTGCCTTCGTTCTAATTGGCAAGTTTTGTTGCTGAGCACTTCGTATCAAGGCCGAGCAAGGAAGTGCCTCGCAGGGTGCTCGGCAGCCCGCCCCGTACGACCTGCGTACGACGGTCCTGTTTTCTAGCATCTAGCATCTCAGGCAAGCCAACGACAATGGCATGGATGCGGGACACACAGTCGCAGCAACTGGACCAGGCAGTTCTGCAAACCTCTGCAAGTGGTCGATGTGATTGTGAGCCAGGTTGCGATTGCTGGTAGACCAGAAAAGGGGCCGGCACAGTTGAAGCACGCGTGTCCGAAGGCTCTCGAAGGTGCTTGCAGTGATGTCGCTTCCCAGCACCCCGGCAGTGCAGGAGGAGGGCGCGAGCGCGGTCCGACAGGCCCGGCTCAGTTCCACGCTCCCGCTTCGCTTGTTCGTTTCTTTTTAATGGTTTTTGTACGATTTAACGCTACTTTGTTCTGTTCATGACAGTGTCTGACAGTGACGAAGGAGCAAGCTCCTCACGCTGACAGTTTGAGTCAAGCGACACAGGTGGGCAAGCACTGCAGTGATAGCATCGCATATAGTCACGCACCGTCCACGCTGCACTGCGCCCGCAGGAACGAATCCAAGCGCAGGAAGAGGCAGTTGTCCAGCAGGAAGAAGAATCTGCTCAGCTTCAGTCACGTACTCGTAGAGGCTTTTGAGAAAGAGTTTGAGCAAAAGCACCAGGCGTGTAGCCCTTTCCTGCATTGCTTCCACCAAAATACCGCTGTGGGAGAGCCACCAAGGAATGGGAGGAACTGCAGGCGAAGGTAAAAGATGATGAGGTACTGTCCTCAGCGCAACCATTCGCAGCACGAGCAAGATGACTTTGCTTATGGTCTTGTGCAGGCCTGACGCGTAAACTTGATTTTGCTTCCGTTCCAGTTTTGCGCATACACCATGCGTGTCTGTGAAGTGAGCTTCGGTGCAGCAACACAATACCTGAGCCCCAGAACCTGAGTACACTAGTTTTCCTTGGGCTCCGAAAGGAAGTAACTGCATGGAAGATGCAAGAGGCTGGTGGCTAGATATGACCGGCCCCGCGCTGCTTAGCTTCAACCGCCAAACTCCCAAACAAACCACTGAACGCCCAAAGTTCCAAACTTAAGAATTCAAACCCCCGCAGAGCTCTGAGTCCTGAAATCTGATAGGACCCAACCCTGAATTGGCTACCTCTAAGATGCACAGAAGTCACATCTGAGAAATGCGTCCGAAGCCATGATAAACCTCAAGAGCCTCTACATTGAAGACTGCGTGCCCCATGCAGTCCCCCAGGGTCGGCCAGAAATTCTAGTGGTGCATGGTGCTGTGCTCAGGCGCAGGCGCGCCAAGCCATCATGCAAGCCGCCGAGAAGTTGTTGCAGGCGAGCAGCCTTGTTGTGTTCAATGAATTGAAGTGAGCTTTGTTGCAACACCTGAAGGTCCCTGCCATGCGCAAGAAATTAGAGTCTGCGGTGAAAGCATACGCAAAGGTTTGATAGTTCCAGCTCCAGTTCCGTTTGCGTGCTATGCGGTTTCGAAGCGCTCGCTTTGCTCTAGCTGCAAATGTTGCAAAAGGAGTAAGGCCGCAGAAGTTTGATGGAATTTGTGGAAGGGTTCGTTTTGCCTCTATTGCTCCGCAAGCAGTTGAGACTTTAGCGCTAACGGTATTGGCTTGATGTCGGCAAGGACTTTGCGGCATGGTGCCTGTCAGGACCTGTCAGACAATCCCTTCGAAGTCAGAGACCCGGACATCACATGTTGGATGCACGTTTTTGCAAGCCAAATTCTGTGAGTTGATTCTGCGACCGTCGGAAGTCCCTGTAGTGGAGCAGGCGCAATTTGCTGAGAATAGCGTTTGCATTTGATTTGTGTTGATCAAGAGCTTGGCCGTTTTTCTTCACACTTTAGCATTGGCTCAAGAATACATGAACTAGCACGATGTCCAGCCACCGCAGCTTTGGCAAGCCTGCAGAACCAGACCACTAGATACGCTTGTCGTGGGAAAGCAACTCTGCAGTGGCAATGGCTGACTGCAAAGTTGGCAAGAGGTGCGTGCTACGCCCTAGCGAACTGCAAGGAAAGTAGATGACAGTGGCCTCGTGACCAGGCACACGAGCGACACTGGCGATGAAGATGCTCAGGCACAGGGCGCCTTCGACGGGAGCGTGCAAGTCAAACGGTAGGCAAGCCCGGCAGGTGAAGCTGTTCAGCTTTTTCGAGGAACTTGCTGAGCCAGTGAGAAAGTCGGCCCCACTTCATTGGTTCGCTTGGTGAATCGCAGCCCGCCGGAGCCAGGTTGGTACAAACGGCCTGGCGGTCCAGAGGGAAGCTCATGCACGATATGAAGGTCGGACTCTGAACAGAGGTGCCAGTGCAAGGGCATGGCGTGCTCTGACAATACAAAAGGCTTACGTCCTGCTCTTTACCAGCATGGTTTGTTCCATGCCTGCACGCGCGTTCTGGGCTTAGCGTTGCCCAACGAATGATTTGAACGGTTTTGGGATGTTTTAGGGAAATGCCGTGTTAGTAATCCTCAGCATGTGACCACATGCCTCAGAGCAGGTTGCGTGTGGTCCAGAACCCGAAGCTGCATGCTTTGCTGGCAGAGGAGGAGGAAGGCCAAATGTGGTCCAGTGCCTGAGAGATTGATGCCAGTCTCAGGATCCGCAAGCACTTGCTGCTGTGGTTGCTGGAACAGGAGGTGGACGTTGCAGCTTTCCGTCTTGAATGCAGCGTGGTCTGAACATGTTATATATGTATAATGTGTACATGTATGTGCCAACAGATGGATAAACCTACATGTATATGTGAATGTCCATCGACCTATCTAACCATTTCTCAGGCACACCAGAAATAGATTACAGCTGAAAATTAGGCATGTGCCCGTCCAACTTCCAGACTTGCTACATGTCTTTGAACTATCAAGGATGTTTCTCTCATTCTCAATTCCAATTACTATGGCATGGCTGGATACGTGAGCTTTGCTAAGATGAAGCCCTACCTGGCACAAACCAAATAGCTGTTACTCACGTGCCCTTCCAAGCTTCTATCCGAAAAAGAACGCTGATACGTTCATACTAGTTTTAAGTAAGGAGGCTACATGATGAAACTGCTATCAAGGATCAGATGATGCAAATGGATAACACCCCGCCTCACGGAAGTCAATTCCACAAGCCAATTCCTGCTAAACCTGTGAAGGATCCCCATGAACAAATCAACAGAAGCACTGTGTTGTCTGCCAAATATCCTTGATACGAATTCCTCAGAAGGAACTCTATATTGAGATCATTCAAAAGTAGCTCACAATGACGAGGAATGAGGATCCCCAGCAAGCACCTCACATAGGCCTTGTACTACCATTCCACATGCACCTTAAATTGCCACTCAAGTATCCGTACTACCAAATCCGAATAGGATCTCTCATGAGAACTACTGATAGCAGACCTCACGTAGGCCTTCTATTGCAAGTTCACCTTTGCCTTGTATTGCCACCCAAGCATCCACAATACGAATTGCTAAATGAGGATCTTTTAAAGGATCCCTAGCGAGAATTTTGCACAATGAGGAACCCTAATAAGCGAGGACTTCAACTAGGCCTTGTACTGCCACTCCTCTACTGAGAACCTGCAAAATAGGCAGCTCGCAATGAGGATTCCTAGCAAGGACCTCGCATAGGCTTTGTACTAGTACGGAAATTTTCGTCGTACGAATTCCAAACAAAGATCCCTAACGAGAACTCACAATGAGGACCCCCAACAAGGACACCAACTGAGAAGTCTCAATATGGGGAACCAAATAAACCCTACGATCAAGAATCCTATACGCCTTAACAGTCAAATTCCTCGAGAAGTACTCGTACTGAGGATCCACTTCAGAAATCCTAAGCCCTCAGGAAGGATCCCTAGCTAGTTTTAATTCTTTCAAATTTTTGGCAACTAAGATTTCTGGTGACTTTTTCTTAGAATCTTGGATTCTTGGCTCCCCAAATATTAACCACTTTCAAATATACTCAGTTTTAATACTTCAGATCCAAGATTCTAAAGTTCCAAGATTCGGGGAAACCTTGTGGAAAAGGCTGACCAGACCAATAGTTTCTATGAAATTAGAAATTTGTAGAAATACGAGTGGTCAATGAGATTCAGTCGAAACCACTATAATGACGGAAAACATAGATCATTCCAATATTTACCCTTCCATGAAAAGCCAAGGAATTCTTTGGACATCGGGAAAATCGTGGAAATATGAAACCAGTGTTTTCAGTAGAAGTTCAAGCAAACCAGTGGCCTTGGCCTGCCCAGCATTTTCCATGATCTTTAAATTTCGGAGTTTGAAGTGCCTTGCGGGTCTGGTCCAGAAGACTCTCGGGAAATCGCGGAACTCCTGGAAAACATTCACCAGGCTAAGATTTCCAACCCTAAACCCTACCTGAGAGGGATGGGGTCATTAAAAAGGTAGGTCTTGGGGGAGGGTACCCTTTACACTTAGACGCGAGTACCTTCTATATATGTATGTGTGTAGGACCTTTATGCTCTATTTGGCGAATCGTCTCTGGATATAGTATAGATTTTCAAGATTTTCAAGATTTTCAAAAATTTTGAAAATCTTGAAAATCTTGAACATTTAA